AACAATAAATGGTATCGAATCGGCTCGTTTTACTCTTCCTCGGCAAATGGGGATGATGGCGATGATTGATTCACGAATTTGTTATGGCCTTGCCAATTGAAGGAGATTTTAACAGTACACATCCTCATTGGGGATAGAATCTTTCTAATCGTTGTGGGATAGGGGTATGGATAGAGATAAGAGAGGTGGCCACAAGGTCTACTGCACCTCGACCTTAATAGATCTATAGAGCTCCTGTCTTATGTATAACTCACCAGCCAGCTTCAGGCTATTAACCAGCCTCCACAGCTTTTCCAGCGGTTCCTTGGTTAGGATCTTGCTTGTGATTCTTCGTGTCCTAGGTGCAAGAACCTGCACCTACATAGACCTTCACAGAAACATAAAATGTGTTCTGCGGACTCCTCCTCTTCCTGGCAGTATCTGCACAGTGTTTCTTCCGCCCTGTACTCCTATCCGGTGCATGTACTTTCTTTAGTGGCAGTGCCCTGTCAGGAGTCCAATCAGAATCCTGGTTCGGTTGCGGTTGCCTTCCAGTAATTCTTTTGTAAGTTTTGCGGATGGTCCTTCTATGAATCTCTTCGCGTGCCTCATACCTGTGGTATTGTTCCACCAGGTTTTGAACTCATTAAGAATCCATTTTAAGATGTATCCTCTTTTGTGGCAGGCTGCTAGGCCGCAGCAGGGTTCTGGACCCATAGAGTCCATGTTGGCTCCCTTTTTGGCCAACATGTCCAACTTTTCGTTACATCTATGCCCCGAATGTCCAGGGACCCATTCCAGGGTTAGGTCATTAGATTCGGTGACTTCCGTCAGGGCCTCCATGCAATTCCAAACACTCTTGCCTTAATGCCTCGCATGAGGCTAAGGCCTGAGAGCTGCCTGGCTGTCAGAGAAAACGGCTATATTCCGGGAATGTATCCCTAGCCGTTTTATTTCTCTGGCACATTGTTCAATATCTATGATTTCAGACTGGAAAACTGTGGCATACTATAGAAATTATGAATGATGGAGTGGGTGTGGAGTTCAATCCTTTTTAAAAAGATTGTTCCTACCCACAGTAAGAATCACTTACTCACTTACTGTGAGTAGGAACCATCTTTTTAAAAAGGACTGTGGCATACTTGTCTAGATTTACAGTCAATTCGGTTTTGGGGTTCATCCCAAAGTCCCCAGCTCCCGTACCCTTGTCGGTTTTGGAGCTGTCAGTATACCAGTTGGAATTTGCCTTTGGTGGTGTTCCTTTGGTCCATTCTTCCCGTTCTGGTATCAGAACTTTGTACTTTTTGGTGAAGTTGTACTTTCCAGTAGTGGCATCAATTGGCATACCTAGAATGTTATCTGCCTGAATCTCCTTCATCAGTTTCCAATGAATAGTTACATGGCCTTTCTTAGCAGATGGTTGTCCATTTATGAGCCTGTGGGCTGCTGCTCTGGTTTCTCTTTGGATTAAAATGTGAATGGTGGTAGGTTTAAAACGACTTCCAGGGCCGTTGTTGGATAGTAGTACACTCAATTACAGAGAGATTAAACTTGAATTCTAGATCTCTATTCACGGTGCTAACTAACGCACAAGCAGCATAAACATCGGGCACACGAAGCTAACGGAATTTCTCATGGCTTCCCTAACTTGTCATTGTGGCGAACTTTTAGGCGTTCTACGCCTCAGATTATTATGTACTTTAAAGGGTCTAATCACTTTTTACATTCGACCAATTCCTCGGACATGATCAGTGCCTTATTGATATGGCTCTTAAACATCTAAAACAAAAATGATACAAAATTATATAATTTAATGATAAATTATACCACAAAATATAAAACAATAAAAAAAGTCATAATTATAAGAGATCACTTAACTATAAAACAGAGCACACCCACGAATTTCCGCTCCGGGAAAACTGAATTTTCGAGGTGTACTGATACAATAAGTGTATGATAATGGTGGTATATTCGTGGTAGCTTGGACGTTCCTTTGTCATTCTAGTAATTTTTGAAGTGTATTTGTGAGGTAAATTCAATTGGCTAAGTGTTTCATTATTAGACGTCTGCTGGGTTTTAGTTTTTAGTTCGGTTTCCCTATTGAGAAGTGTTGGGACTGATTCTCCCTAGAAACCTGCTTATGGGGTTGGGTAAGGCTTATTTAGGTTACTTGTTTTTTCTCTTTTTTCATCTGTTATAAAATAAAACCAAAGTTTTCCAAAATCATTTGAAAGGCCCTTTCAGCCCAATGAGGGAATAATAATAAATAAAAACTGCGACAAAAACAAATTCGAACATGTATACGATTAAAAAAACATAATAATAAATGACGAAAACAAATAAAATAATAGGCAATGAGAGCCACATAAAGGATTACTCGGATTAGACCTTACAGGCAATTTGGTCGGTGGGCGGGGGCGGTGGTGACGCCCTGTCAGGCCCTTTTCTGCTAAAATGGGTTCAGCTTGGAAGGTGTGATTGATTGAAAGTGCAAGTCGACCCTCAACAACAATGCTGTTAATTTAATGTTCTGCTAAAAGTGTTTATTTATACACAACCCCACATGGACCGAGTTTTCCACCCTGAGCTTTGCCTTGTTTCTTTGTGGGTGGTTTTTCTCGACAAACTCGTGCAAGGTCTCAACAAAAGACCTTCCTATATTCACCATAAATACGATAATCAATAGTGAATTGATTCAGTAGTGTTCAAGTTATGCCAAAGCCAATTAACTAGGCTTATACCCGCAATAACATGATGTTCGTTACCTGAATACTGATAATGAACCATTTCTATTTTTATACCTCGTGTTTTGGCAATCAATGTATCATCAGTAATCGGTACACAAGGGCTTTGTTTGTCTATAGAAGGAGGTCTTTTACCTTCTAAAACAAACTTTCAGACATGTTAATAAAAGTCAATATAGCTTGATGTAGCAAACGCGGTGAAATAAATGATAAAACATCAGCTCATAAAGGTTCTAAAAATAAATTCACTAATTTCGTGGTCCGCTTGACCAATTGATACTTTACAATTAATTAAGGTTTTTTGTTGAGATGAAAAAAAGTTAATGGCACGAGAGGGATTCGAACCCACGACCTTCGGCTAGATACGCCGCTGCTCTACCACCTGAGCTATCGTGACCTCGATCCACTCGGACATCAACTCCTCATCTCAACCCCACCTTATGAGTTTTCCCTCCTTTTGCCATTTTTCAAATGTCGTGTAATCGGTTTGGATTCTTGACGACAATTGAATTGACGACGGAGAGCTTTAGTGAAGTGTACTTCATTTTAATTCATTAAATTCACTAATTTCGTGGTCCGCTTGACCAATTAATACTTTACAATTAATTAAGGTTTTCTTTAGGGGTTGAGATGAGGAGTTGATGTCCGAGTGGATCGAGGTCACGATAGCTCAGGTGGTAGAGCAGCGGCGTATCTAGCCGAAGGTCGTGGGTTCGAATCCCTCTCGTGCCATTAACTTTTTTTCATCTCAACAAAAAACCTTAATTAATTGTAAAGTTCTAAAAATAGATGCTACAATCACCTTGAAGGACATGCGAAGTCTAAAAAAAATGATCTAGGAAAAACTGGAAGAACATGCTGAGTTAAACATCCCACTGAAGCAGATTTTACAATCTCGACTCCTTCACGCAATATACAAATAGCAGCCAATGTACGTTCCAGCTACAATAAGCAGTAAAAATTTAGATGACCATGTTATCAATACACATTAAGCAGCAACAAGAAATTGAAAAATAAAACAAAAAATTTCAATTAATGGAGAATATTTTTATTAATTAAAGAGCTATTTATCGTCTTAATTCAAGTTTTTTTTTAAACGGGAGTTCGCAACAGCAAACCCTCAGGGTACAGGTGTTTTTGAATAAACGCCTATTTGTAAGTATGTCGCTGGATTCGAACCCGGGACCTTTACCTTACAGCGATGAGCGCCCTGTCAACGCCTAAACCGTTGCTGCCACCGACGCCCCCAATTAATTATTTATATTATTACCCCAATTATTAACATTTCATACTGTACAACTATATAATTCACGTCGCCTTAATCGACAGGGTGATCTCTAGACCTTCTTGTCCCTTAATCCCTCACACTGAGTACCAGCATTGGACGGTTTCTCATGGCATGTGTCCTCCGGGTGCTGCGCTGGAAGTGTTAGTGCTGAAACTGTGTGAAAAAACGTTTTGCAATCATATTTTAATTTGGACGAATGTCCATAAGATACAAATAAAATAATAACAAAAAATTGTTCCTTAATTATTTATCTGCAAAAATTTTCTATCATAAATAAAAAAATAATTGTTTAACAAAATTCACTTCCATTACATCACTGTTACCAAAACAAGGGATGGAGGGAACAACAGTGTTAGGTCACATCATGTCAGTATTATATAATGAAACTTAATATGATATTTATTATTTTTTCTGCCTGTGGCTAAATAGCTGATGCCAAAAAAAATTATTACATATCAGAGCAAATGTATTACGACAAAGAAGCAGATTGCCGAATTTTACAGAAAAATTCGTAAACTATTATTAAAAATTCAAATTTCCTGTAATATCTTTGCGCTTTCATTCCATTTATTCTTAGTTTTCTCTAATTGATTTAAAGTATTGAAATAATTTAAGATTTGATTGAAATTGTTGATTTTACTTGGTGGAATATATCTACACCAGAATCATGAAAATGAAAACAAATATCGTTTAAAAAATAACCAGCAAATTAAAAATAACTGAAAAATGGTTGGTAGTGCTTTTTTCGGTCAGACCTACTATTTTTTGATATCTAAACGATTATCACAACAAAATTGGGTTGGTTATTACTCAAAATAAAGCATAATTATTCCTCTTTTTCTTGATAGAGTTTTTTTAATATGGAAGATTTACATTTTTAACAACTTTATCGATTTTACGAACTTTTAAAAACCTTGTTAAAAGAAAAACTTTTAATTGGAATTAATTGTCGTAAACAATAGAATCAGCAGACCAATGGTCAATATGCGTCCTCGGATTGCCAGGTGTGGCGGTGGCGCGAACAGTCGGGCCGGCCGGGAACCAGCGAAGCCGTATGGACCCATCACCAGAGCGTGCTCACCCTCGCCGCCCCAACGCCTTCACCGCCACCACCGCCTCCACCGCCTCCCGATCCTATTCCAGAGGCAGCATCCGACAGTCAAGCCATGGCATTGGTAAAGGCAACGCTCACCCTTCTCCTCCTCGCACTTGTGAGAGTCGAAGGAAGAGCCGTAAGTACAAGAGTATATTTTTCAACGGCAATTTGTTTTTGTTTTTCGTATTAGTTCTTGTTCAATTTACACTGGTCGAAAATTTTCGGCATTTATCACAATTTTTTGTTTTGTCAAAATAAAAATATTCCTTAATATAACGATTATTTTTCTGAAAATTCCAGTTTCATGCAACGGTTAGTATTTGATTTAATTAACCAGATTGTTTGTCATCTAAGAATTTTTTTTATAAAAAGGTTGTTTTTTTCATGTAAAGCTTAGAAATCTTCATAATATAATATAGAGATTAAGTTCGGAAGGTAGTCGAGTTCTAAGTATATAAGTATTAGCAAAAATTACAATTTTATTATCATAATTACTACATCGAATTGGGTTTTTACTGTAAAACGTGAGATATAGCATATAAAAATTTGAACGAGAAAACCCATGCAAAATTGTGTGCTTCATCTTCCACTTGAAATTTGGAAAAGTTGGAAAATATTTTGTCTTGTGCGTCCTTTCTAAATAAAATAAAAAAATTCCTGCTTCAAGCGTTATTTTATAGATAAAAAACGTACTTTTGCTATTTTAAAAACTTCATTATTGCACCACCCTTTGTAAGGATTTGTATTTTCTACTTTTTCAGCATTTATCAGCGAGTCCAAAAATTTAATATATGCACCGATCTCTTATTTTAATTTAATTAGAGACGAGAAACACTCGGGAGTCAAACAAAAGACTTTATTAAACATTAGTTCAAAAATTCTTATTAAATATTAGCAAATGCGCTTTTTCAAGCTTTGGTTTATGTTGTAAAATCTGTATTTGAGTAGTACAAAAATAAGAAGTTAATTTTGTTTAATTGAGCCTAAAGAGGAGAGACGTGTGTAAAAAGTTTAAAGTTTTCACTGCTGAGGACAATTTTCCATAATACAATTGATGATTTACTCTCTTCTAAAGAAAACATCAAGATGCGGTTTGTCATAGATTTTGCTAAATCAAAAATAAAATTCGGCAATATTACAACCCTATTAAATCATCGCAAATAGGGTTGTACATTAAAATTTCCTTCTTTCTGGAGTCTACTGGCAAATTTTACATTACGATTTTTTAAAAACTTGTACGTCTACCTACTTTTTCCTGTAGACTTTTACGAATAAAAACAGACGGAGAAAGAAATAAAAAGTGGTTTTGCCTTTTAACTTTTACGACAAATATATTCCTTATTTATTCGATTTTCAACTGCTTTGAAATTTAAGTTTATATTGTAGACTGACGGACTGACATTATTGTTCGGGAATTTTTAAAAAATATGTACTTTTTCCTTGCTGTCTAATCAGATATGCTTGTCCTATTATGAAAACTACAAGCTTTGAAAATTTTCGAGGGGCAATCTCGAACTTAAACTTAACTTCATTAAGTCGCAACAGAGTACTTATGTACGGAAAGTTTCTTACCACCTGCCGTAAATATACATGGTTGCAAAATTGTGTCTCTGTTTAAGTAATATCATTTTGTATTTTTTTTTACACGTAAAGATAAACAAATTACATTGTTCTAAACAAATAATGTACATTAATATCACGGCGCTTTTTAGTTTTAATGCTTAATGTTGGAAATGATTTTTATTTTTTGACTTCTTAAAAGTGAAGTTTTGTCTCATCTTTTTATTTATTTACGTTTTTACATGGCTTTTTATAACTTGAAACCTATTTAAAACGTGATGAGTTTCGAATTGTATGGAGTTTTTTTAATTCACTATCAAATTTAATTATTAATTCTGTAGAAGAAGAAAAGAAGAAAGAAAGCTATTCGATAATTTAGTAAAAAGGACACACTTTCTGATAGATACATACATAAAACGATTTTTATATTCTGATCGATTCGTGGGTTATAATGTGAAAAAAGTATTGATTAGTTTAATATGACTTTTATTAATTATGTAAATGCACAGCATACAGTCAACTTAGTAGTGTGCCCTCTAGTTATTAGTGGAAGATGATGACTAGAAAGGAACATGGAACGTTGAGCACACATTTCAGGGACATTGGAAAATACAGTGTTATAACACCGATCATAACAACATTGCTAGCATAAAATTCACACAGTGAAAATTTTAATAGTTGATTTAAACAATGGGTCTCTCTCTCTCTCTCTCTCTCTCTCTCTCTCTCTCTCTCTCTCTCTGTCCATAATACAATAAGACTTTTTTTTTTCTAAGTTAGAAACTGTTAATAATAATACGATATCACTTACTATTCCTATCTATGCGAGACGTTTCAGAAAATATAAAACTGTGAATTACGAGTAAATTTTCTAAAACACTTAAAGAACCCTGAAAGCTGAAAGATTAAATTCCTATGTCAAAAATGTCAAGCTTGGTTAACAAAATTTCCTGTTTAATTTTTTAAGCTAGTTGTGGTGAAACAGACCCAGATAGTGTTATAATGTACAAACAATTTCTATCGGTAAGAAATAAGTCAAAGCCCTTGTTGTTCATGCCTTAAAGTCTAACCCTACATTTGACTTTGAAAAATTTAAAATTCCAAACATAGAAAAAAAAGATAAACGATGACAATTTTGGAAAGTCGTGTACATTTAAAGAGATAAAAAAAATCTGCTAATTATAAGCAAGACAGCGTTGGCTTAAATAATTACTGCAATCCACTTATACTAAGAGTCACTAATGCCATCAGAATTATTAAAACCACAAGGGATAACAACTGAATTATTCTTTCATTATGTTGCAGTTTCCTCCACAAACCTTTTTTCTCATTTCAAACTGTTAAACCTTTGATCTGGTTCTGAAGAATTTAAATCATTATTAAGGAAAATTGATTATGAACATATTGACATTGAAAATTGTCGAACATTCCAACTTATGTTTATGTGTGAAGTGTGTTAGGTAGTGTTGATTTCGTGTTTTAGAACGTTTTGTACCTTGAAAAAGTGCCCTTAAAGCTCCGAAAAATATGTCAAATTCAACTTGTTTGACCAATCGAAGAGCTTTTTAGGCCGAAAACTTCATCAACCATTCAGTTTTATTATTTAAATAAAACCAAAGACAATATGCTTTTGGATTTAAAGTAGCTAGGCCAAAAGTCATTTTTTACATAAAAACAGCGACGCGTTTTTTCATTAAACGAGGTGATTTTGTTTAATTTTATTAAAATCAAATAAACTTGACGAGCTGTAAATTAAAATGTGTACTCGCGTATGTGTCCGGCATGAAGAGTTCCGATGAATGATTTGGTGGAAAAATTGACCTACGGTTTTTTTCTAAACACAACACTTTTTAACCATGTTAGTAATATTTCCAAGCATAACACTCTTATAGATCTCTATAAAACCAAATTCATCTTAAAATGTTTAACGTGCTATGATATTGCAAAGTTTTATTAGTAATTCTCAAATATAACTGTCATCCTACTTCATTATTTTATTTATATTATTCTACTACTTATGTTATTCTTATCTATTTTATGTCTTTTGTAGCATATTTATTACCTCCATATATAAGAATGCATCTTGTCCATAGAAATGATAAATGATGGAGTGAGTGTGGTGTTCAATCCTTTTTACAAAGATAGTTCCTACTCACAGAAAGTTGTTAATAAAAAAAGTTGGTTAAAATAAGTTGTTGTAAAAACAACGGGTATCTATTAGAAATATTTATTGATATTTCAAATTTGAATACAACAGTGTTACATAGTTACAACAAAGGGAAAGAACTAGATTGGTTTGAGAAATTTGAAATTAAAAAATGTAAAATTGAACATGGTGATAAATGGATTAATAATATAACAGATTTTGATCTACCGAACAAAAAAGTTTTTTGTTCGTAAGTTGTTTGCCCTGCCATCATCAACTCCTAATTATATGTTGTATATTGAGACTGGCATGGAACTGTTGTTTGTTTATTCTTTAAGGTTACATTTTAAGTTTATTTTGAAATCGCTTCAATCTCCTGATTCTCGCCTGGCAAAAATTTCATCACTTGAAGTTATTAAGGGTAACATATCCTGGTTCAGATCCTGGAATTCTCTTGCGGAGAGGTATAATGTGGCTCGGTTCTCTTTGGATAATTTTGCAGCGTGGTCTGAAATGTTTTCCAATCTTCTTTATATTATGGGGGCTCGTCATCGAGAGAGTTGTATTTCTCGTGCCGTGGACTCAAATAGATTCCAACTCTACAAGGAGTTGAATCATTCCCTAACTCCTTGCAATGTTTTTTCTGCTCCATCAAATGATGTTCCGTTCTCTTTTTTCCGCTGGTGGTTTAAAATTCGAGGGGAGTTGTTGTTCCTGAATTTCAGGCCTTGGGTTGGGAGTACTCCTGCCACTGCAGTGTGCTCTCTATGCAACTCAGGTGATCGTGAGGATGCATTTCATTTTCTCGCTAGATGCTCGGTCCTGAACGAATTGAGGTATCTGTATGTGGGTAAGGGTTTTCTGACGAGGGAAGAGCTCATAGCCCTTCTGAACGGCTCCGATTGCGGGGGTCTTGTTGATTTTGCTCGGAAAGCCTGGTTTTACAGATATGAATACATTGGAATGTAGGGAATTAATATTCTGTTCGTCTTATTTTGTTTCTTTTTTGTTTGTCTTTTGTTTTTTTATTTTGTTCTGTTTGTCTTAATACATATAATTTCTAGTTTGTGGGCTTCTAAATGCGAATTCTGTTGGCCTGTGGGGGACCCTTTGTAAGTTAGAATCCTTTTGTTCTTTGAAGTGTCATTTTTATTATTTTCAAAGTTTATCGCAATTCAACCTTGTAATTTGAAAATCCTGTAAATAATTGTAACCTCTGAAGTTGATATTTTAAATTCTCCTTTCCTCATAATTATATAATTATGCATATTCTTGGGATAGTAATGCACTCCGAACTCTGGCTGACGGTTTTAATACCATGCCATAACAATACTGTGTTATTTATTTTTAACTTTAAATTTTTTCATTTTGTAAATAAAGTATATCTATCTATCTATCTATCTATCTATCTATCTTTTGATCTACCTCCC